TAAGTGGACATTTTAATTAAATGATGCTTGGTCAATATTAAACAAGTATTAGATCGCACAGTAATGTGTAAAAACAAAAAAAAATTCTGGGGTTAATTGGGGTTGGGGTTAATTGAAACTTAATCTTAATTGAAATTTAATCCCTTTGTAGTTGCACTCACAGCTGTAATGCCCAGAACATGTGGATATATTGACATTAAGAACATGCTGACTTTCTCAGACTTTTGTAATTATTTTCTTTTTATTTCATTTTTATTAGGTTTGTTTACAGTTTTACTCTTTTAGTTTTACATTTCGTCAATGGCTTGTTTACGTTTATACTTTTTTATGGTACACTACTGAATGGCAAAGATGCAAGTTTAATAAAATGTTCTTTAAAAATTGTAGATTTTTTTTGTGTGGGAAATTAATCGTTTAGATTAATCGATAAATTAGTCGATAGATTAATCGAAATAAAAATAGTCGTTAGTGGCAGCCCTAACTAAAACTGAAATAAAAATTCATAAAACTATAAAAACAAAAAAATTATAAAAATTACAACACACACACACAAACTAAAACTTCACTATTAAAATGAAAACGGAAAATACAAAAATAGAAAATATTCAAAATGTTAAAAACAAAAACCTAAACGAAAACTTATTTTTTTGTTTGGTTATGCCTTGTGATTGTGACTGTTTATTTGTCTGTAAACTTGAAAATACTTCAATAAAATGTAAAATTGTCATATAAACCATTTAGATCAATATTGCTTATTTTTGTGTGTGCGTGTGTTTATAATGTTTTCACTGAACAATGACATTTTGATTTTCAACATTATGAGGTAAAAACTGAAAAAAATAAAATGCATGGATAAATTGTTCTCAATAAGATCTAATAACATGCCTTTAGAAAATACGGCAAATTTTTATTTAATGCTGGCTTTAAAAATGTGGAGCTCATGGCGTGAGACACTGAAAACACAAAAGTGACTCACTGCAGAGGTCAAAGATGTCTGTCTAGCACAAACTTCCACAGGCCAACAACCAAAAACTTGTTTAGCAGTACCCTAACAGTACCCAGAATGCACAGTAAGTGCCATTTTAAAGTCTAAGAATGTCTACTTCAGCCTCATGGCTTCTTTAACAGGGTCTCGGATCTCTCAAAGTGCATATTCATCTCATGGGAATTCAAAGAATAAAACAGAGACATCAGGACAGAGGAAGAATGTGTTTATGGCGGATTGTGGTGACAGTTTAAACCCATGTATGACCCTGATCAAAGAACGGCCAATTCCACAAACCCACAGAGTTATGAGGAGATCAATACAGAAACCACAGTTACTGACACACAACAACACACACATTCATGGGAAACATTCATCATTCAATCACATCTGTCTGCACACACACTGGCCCTGCAGAAACAAAACAGAGTACAATCTCAATGAGACGGTAGAACAATTAAGGACAGGAATAACAAAATGCACTAAAATAAGTAAAACTGACAGAAAACATTTATTAAAAAAAATATAGACATAAAAAAAACAATAAAAATTACAAAACAACAAAAACAAACAAAGAAACACACACAAAATGACTAAAACTTTACAATTAAAATAAAAACAGAAAACAAAAAATACAACAAAAATGTCTAGACTTAAACTAATTTTATTTCAGCTAGTTGCCAAAGCAACATTTAGAATTTTCATTTAGTTTAACTTCATGCATTAAAATAACTAATCTTAAATTAAAAAATGAATAAAATATATATAGACATTTAACAAAAAAAATAAAAAAAATAAAAATGGCAAAAACACAAAGATACTAAAACGTTAACTAAAATAAAAAAATAAAAAAAAATTATTCAAACTGTTAATAAAACTACAATAGCATCTCAATGATACTAAAATAACACTGGTTTAAACAAGAAGAGCAGACATTTCATGTATGCCTAGTGAGAAGTGAGCACAGGAGTGTGTATAAAACACACACACACACACACACACACAAAATCCTTCTTTAGTGGCAGCCCTAACTAAAACTGAAATAAAAATTCATAAAACTATAAAAACTAAAAAATTATAAAAATTACAACACACACACACAAACTAAAACTTCACTATTAAAATGAAAACGGAAAATACAAAAATAGAAAATATTCAAAATGTTAAAAACAAAAACCTAAACGAAAACTTATTTTTTTGTTTGGTTATGCCTTGTGATTGTGACTGTTTATTTGTCTGTAAACTTGAAAATACTTCAATAAAATGTAAAATTGTCATATAAACCATTTAGATCAATATTGCTTATTTTTGTGTGTGCGTGTGTTTATAATGTTTTCACTGAACAATGACATTTTGATTTTCAACATTATGAGGTAAAAACTGAAAAAAATAAAATGCATGGATAAATTGTTCTCAATAAGATCTAATAACATGCCTTTAGAAAATACGGCAAATTTTTATTTAATGCTGGCTTTAAAAATGTGGAGCTCATGGCGTGAGACACTGAAAACACAAAAGTGACTCACTGCAGAGGTCAAAGATGTCTGTCTAGCACAAACTTCCACAGGCCAACAACCAAAAACTTGTTTAGCAGTACCCTAACAGTACCCAGAATGCACAGTAAGTGCCATTTTAAAGTCTAAGAATGTCTACTTCAGCCTCATGGCTTCTTTAACAGGGTCTCGGATCTCTCAAAGTGCATATTCATCTCATGGGAATTCAAAGAATAAAACAGAGACATCAGGACAGAGGAAGAATGTGTTTATGGCGGATTGTGGTGACAGTTTAAACCCATGTATGACCCTGATCAAAGAACGGCCAATTCCACAAACCCACAGAGTTATGAGGAGATCAATACAGAAACCACAGTTACTGACACACAACAACACACACATTCATGGGAAACATTCATCATTCAATCACATCTGTCTGCACACACACTGGCCCTGCAG